TGGTTGGAGACACTACAAGATATGGCTGCCAACCGATGTCAGTGGCGTTCTTGTTGTCAGTTTCTGTCCAGATTGCCTGAGTGAATGTCTGGAGGTGTAGGCACCTCGGAATGATTGTGTTAAGCTAGCACTAAGTCTCTTCCCTGTCCACCTTTATTCTAATCTTTACAATAAGGCTTTCAAATAAGTCATGGTTGTACGGCAGTGAAGAATCGGTGTTGAACACTGATGTCATGCTGTCGATGATGATGATGATGATGATGATTACCCGTGCATGCGACGTAGTCTCTAGAGTCGTAGTCAAGGGAACTGGTGTCCTATTGTGGAGCAAGTCAATCACTTGGGAAATCACAAAGTGCTTGGTCTTTGATTCTGGAAAGCAAGATTCCGCCAGGAAAAACGCCAGTGGAAGGAATTTCTTGTCTCGAAACCACCTTCTTGATGGATGCTTCGTTTTGGGTGAGTTTATCGAGTGGAAGAATGCTGCAGTTTAATACCTTCTAGATACTTCACACATTCTAAGTGAAATTGAATGACACCAGCGAAATCATCACTACAAAACTGTTAACATTCATGCGTGACGAAATCTCACCACGATTCAACATGTGTAGCACATAGTCAAGGAAAAGCAACTGATGGTACTGGACATGTTCCGGGACCGCACACCCGTTTTCCAACTACCCTGTTACGAATTTGTGCACTGAGTGCAATAGATGCATTCGTGTCGGGAATAACACAGCCACTGAGGCACATACAATTCTCTACAACCGCCAGTGCTTCTCCTTGAATTACACCGGGCATGTTCGGATACAAGTGGGCTGCAGTTCATTGGGCAGTGAGGGGAAAGGCATAACGAGAACAATCCACCTCTGTGTTCCCCTTCGCTGTTTCTAACCAGTACCAGATGTTAAACGGTTAAATAATACCTTTTGATTTGATTATTGTTGTCTGAGTACAAGCAAATGAGTGGGTTGATTAGTCACGAAAGTTGAGTGAGGCTGCAGTGAGACGAAACTCTTGGATAGACTAGGCTTTAGCACAGTTCAAATGAAAACCACAAGCAAAGTTTTCTTTGGAACCACAACCTCCAAACAGATTCCACGTACATTACAAGTGATAGGAATGATCAATGTAACTGCCGGCCGTCTGGATAAGTCCAAAGAGTGAATGCGCATATAAAACTTGAACCAATATAAAATGCCGACCGACCGACCAAGTTACCTAGTGAAAGCTTGAAAATTCCAGTCCAACCGAACGTGGTTGGTTAGAATATGCAAGAATTTGACAGGATAGCGAACACTGTCAACGTAGTGTGAAATGAGTGCACCCTAATGACTGCAAAGCACATCTTTGTTAGCCACTCTATGTAAACGGGGCTAACACGAAAGGACAACGAACGCGCCGAAAAGTTGCAAGTCCTCCACTACACACAAAATATACGTGATAAAAATTACGCACACATGGGTCGAATTTCGTGGCATAGTCTTTAACTGATTTTTCCAACTGGAAATTTTCGCAACCATTCGCAAGTATTCTTTTGAAGGGGATAGACTAGTTTAATGTATCTCAGGTGATTTGGGTGGCAGAACCAAGATGTTCACAAATGCCGATGTTCCCCCTGACGGTAAATACTTCAACTATGTAAGAAGAAGCATACCTCTGCTTGAAACGGTTTCCCAAAGCTGAGGAAATAGGGCTGGTGGAAACCCGGGGAGCACATCTACCGAATGAGCTCCTTGAAGGACGAAACAGATGGCGAGGATTGGGAGAATTTTCAGCAAACTTATAATTGATGTTGGGAAAATCTTTTTTCTGAAAGAGCTATGCCAAACTAGTTTTTCCTGCAATTTTATGTGTAGGTTAGCGTGTACAACTCCCCTATCGTATGTCCGGTCTATCCACGAGTTTTTTCTTCAAACAAGATCTGAAACGCACCTCACAGATGAGTCTCATCTCCATTTCTATCCATACACGCCGTGTTTTTAAATACGCTTTGTACATGTTCACAATTTAGTCCGTATGTACTTCATCATGCCATGCCTGCTCATCAGCAAGGCTTTGTCGGCAAAATACGCATGTCTTCAAAAATTTAAATATTTGTGGTTGCCTGTGCAAAAATTCAGCTATTCAGTTCTAAGGGACAGTAATTCTGAGACTAGCAAGACCAGATTTTGGGGACGTTTTCAACTCAGTCCTTCCCTGCGTTTTAACCTTGCAACTATTCGTCGCTGTTCTCAGTGGACCTACCAACTTATACATAAAGAACCTTGTCAACAATTGGTAGGCAGTTGTGGGAAAGTTTGCACGCAAAACACCAACAGAAGGATTACTGATGGGATTGGTTAAGGTTGTTCATCTGTAGCACCTTCCGGTGCCTAGCTGCCATGCCACCCGAAGGAAGCACGAGGGCTGAGATACTGCCAGAGTGCCCAAACCTAGACAGAAGTTGAAGCAGAGGTCGGGTTCGAACCACGGACCTCCCGGTCAGTGATTTCGCGGTCTAACCACTTGAGTACTTTCGCCCTGATGGGACTGACTATTAGCACGCTAACCTGTTGACGATTTTATTAACAGGAATGGAGAGAGGCCGCATGAGTGGTCGGTCAAAACTGACTTGAGAGATCTACAGTGACAAGGAAGACACGGCCCAAATTACCAACATAAGACAGATATGCTCAAAAACAGACTTATCTTTCTACCTGACTATGTTAGACATTCTGAGGCAAAACACACGATCTACTCTATAAGCTGCTATCAGTGGTGAAGTCCTTAAAAACCGGATCCACAGTGATCAATGTAGGTGATGGAGTTTTTTTTCCGAAAATTATCACTCATTCAGCATTGGCGTGTTTTCGGAGCTTAGTGGTCACGCAGACTGAAGGAGAGAGGAGGGCTGAAGTAATGCCAGGTCAGCCATGCATAAACAAGGGTAATCGAGCAGTGTGGGTTGGGATTGGACCATAGAACTTCCGTTTAGCAGATTCTTACCTAAACCAAACAGATATTTTGAGCTCTGATGCCGGCATTTACGCTGGTGATAACTGACAGCCATGAACCACAGTTTTTACCACTGCTGATAGATAAGTTGGAATGGGACGGTTCCACTTTGCCAGCGATGAAGTTATGACCAACTCCGGTTGGATGGTAAATTGGTAATCATAAACAGTAAGAATAGTGGTAGTAACAACAGAAATATACATAGCTTCCTTTAAGTGCACAGGCATTAAGCACCAGAAGGGAAACGGTCTCTAATGCAGCTGAGCATGTATTTCGTTCTCACAAAAAGCGGATCAACTCGTCATATTCTAATAAGCTGTACCATACAAATGTATTTTGTATTACATTCACATTTGGGAAAGCCATTTTCAAGATCGGTTAACCAATTATTCCAAGTTATTCTGTGATCCTAACTGTGAAGAATATGGCCGATCTGCTAGCTCACAATCAAAGGCAACGAGCGCGGCAGTACTGGCGGTGTCGAGACTTACACTAACATCGTCACCTTCAAAAACAGTTGCACAAATTCGGTATGTTCACGGTCTACCAAGCCTAGTTGGAACAATCTGTCTGAGCCGTGTGGAGTAATTAAACTGCTATCGCAGATAATGGATGGAAATACTTGAGTTGTCGATTGCTAGTGGATGAGCCGCACTGCTGGGGACGAGAGAACTCGCATTCCATACAACGCAGAGACGCCTGTAAGTATCCGTAGGATAGGTTCACCACTAGGCTGGTTGTAACGGAAAACAACAAAATTCAGGGTGGTTTACTTGAGACCATGCAGAGTAGCACGTGAGTTCCGACTTTTAAAGCAGTCACAAGGTTAAAAATGTCAAACATTTCGCTTTCGTCCCGATAATGACTAAAGCCAAACCGAAAACGCAATACGCAGAGCCAGAACGAAAAGTAACGACAAATGTACACCACTTACCCGCAATCGACTGTGAAGTGGATCGCCGTTCCTAATGTTCAGTTTGTCAAAAATGAGCAAAACTGATCCGCGATGTTCAGATCCACGTGAGAGAGGAAGCTTGAGCTCACAATCTGAGACTACTAAAGTCAACGGCCCTGAAGAACAAATTACTTACGAACGCCGTTGTACTCCTCAAGCAAGCGAAATAAGTCTATGCCCCCAGCAGCAATTAGAATATCTGGACGGTATTTAAAATGATTAAATACACGAATGCGAATCTTTGAATTAGGCGATACGACAACGGAAGCGGTTTCATTCCAGGTTGGATTCCAGTTCTTGAGACAAGTTTTTGTCTTATAGGCAACCACGTTATCCACTAGAATTTCAATGTAAAGGTCGCCATTTTTGTTGAATAAGCCTTTGGAATTGAGCATTAGAGCAGCATGTTTGACTGAAAGGAGTAGACGTTATTAAGTGCATGAACAGACCTGTCACCGAAAGCTGGTACAGTCGAGAACAACCATTGACGGCCGTTACGGACATCTACATCACATCTATATGGACGTGGTAATGTCTCCGCCCGGGATAAACCAGCGATTACTGAAAGGAAAGAAAGCGGGGCAGTCTGTAACTGGCATCTTAAAGGCAAAATGTGCGGATAACTTTACTGTGGATGTCAGCAACATGAATATCGAATATGGATATCGATCAACAACTAATGGCGAAATGTGAGCAGATCGGTGTCCCATTTTGTTTCCAGTGACGAGTCAGTATCCCAGGTTTGGTCTTATTGTAATGGACCAAATCTTCCGTTAATCGCCTCCTTATGTTAGCAAAACGCTAGAAAAAGCTAACAAACCGACGGTCTCTGAATTGCGCAAAACTAGGTTAAACTAGCTTATCCGGCCTTTAACTAGCAAAGGACAACATCCAACTTTAGTTTATTCTTTCCAATGTTGTTGCATTACATCGGCCATTCGAACGGAATTCATCATTGTTCGGTATTTATGCATCGTTGGTTGGTCTAAATGAATGGAGGCCTTGTACGGTAGTGAAGATGTTTAGATACATACAACTATACGAAAAGGACACCTACCAAAGTTGAAAGAAGGGAAAGTGGGGTCTTACTGCAAAAATCTTAATGTCATAAGGCTTTAAGAACTATTGAGAACACACCGGAGCATGTCAACAGGGTTGGTCGAGCAGCAACCCATTTCCACACAAGTTCAATGCACAACAAACAAAGGTTAGCTATGAGGGCGCCGATGATCAAAAGACAGAGTAATGTTTCACATAGATGTTGACCAGTGTGGATCCCAGCACGAACCCCTCAGTTCAGTTCAATTCACTTAGTCAGTTGACAAACCAACCAGAGAAATGCAGTGATTTCCGCTGATACACTTTTTTCTACTCAAGATTAGGAGAATAAGGAAATGAGAACCAAGAGTTGCAGGCGACAACCAAATCTGTTTGCCCGATATGGCGGGGAAAGAGCTACTGTAGTAACGGTATTTTCCCCAACTTAGTTCTCGGCCCGAACCCCTCGGCCTGTTTCCGTCAAAAAACGCAAACAAGGCACAACTTATATTGACGCCCAAAATCAGGTCCAAAACACGTGTACAGCGCGTCGAATATAAAGTGTATTCCACGACAACATCCTGGGTCATAACTGGCAGTTAAGTCCAGACTTCCAACCAATCAGAGCTCGCCTTGATGCCGGATCGCCAAGTTGCCTGAACCTTTGGAAATCTCGTGTGGGATAGGCTTCTCGGCTATAGCAGCGCCTAAGTGCGGGCGCCAAAGTGGTATCTGCATAGAATTCCGCCTAACAGCTACACATTAATGGCGATGGCTCAGATGCAAGTTTCGTTTCTGCATGACAGCCAACTCTGTCAGGGTCACTAACTATTGGTTCGTTTTGTCCCACAGTGCATATTCGAGGAAAGGGCAGTTACCAACGCGACTGCATTGACTGGTAGGTGCATTCATACTTCTTTGCCGACTCAGGGACTGACTGCCTCCGCCCGATACAAGACTGGTCAAAGAGTGCCCTACAAGACAAGCGGTTCCCTAACACACGAATTATGTGTAGTATGACAAGCTGACCTCTCAGAGAAGAGTGAACTTTCCCGAAAACCATCCGTAGTACCTCAGCATTACTGATCTGACTCCCGCCAGACTCTGGCAACGCTTCGAAGACACCGACGGCAGAACATAAAGGGTCTGTAAAGATGTTTTGTACACACAGGCCATGCCTCCGACCAACAAAATGCGCCAGATCGAACCGCAGCAATATGCACTCTACCTTCGACAGTCAAGCTGGTGCCCCGTCTGCGTCACAAACGTAGAGGTTCATCATCATCACTATCAGCTGTAAGAACCACGGACTTGTCGTGCAGTGGTTGTAGCTGCCACACTTTCGTTCACCAGTGATTTGGGGAGGTGGGGAGGTAGCTCTGCATTGGAGGCGGGAGCTGATAAATTCGTGCGTAAATACATATCCGTCAGTGGACCTTCAAGCGGTGGGAGTGGGGAGGCAATAGCTTGGATGTACTATCTCAATCGGCTCATCCGCAAGCATGAGGTTAAGTTCTGAGTCAACCCATTCTTGCAGGAGCACATTACACTTAACGGGTGTGAAGCGCATGCCAAGCTGTGAGGCAGAATTATTTATATCATTTAATATTGTTCACATTACTACGGGGTCAGATCCACGAAGAGCTATGTTATCTGCGGCAGTGAAGCATCGGTGTTGAACATTGATGTCATGCTGTCGATGATGGTGGTGCTAAGGACGTTATCTGCGTACTCGATATCTGGGAGCTGACGCCCAGGGAGCACTTCGACCCCACAGGCATTAGAGGCTGGCAGTGAGTCATCCATGATCGCATCAGTGACGGATTTGAAGAGGAAAGGTGAAAGAGGATCCTGTCTGAAACCACTTAATGTGGATAACTCAGAAAAGAGCTTTCCTTAGACCTTCACAAGGCAGCGGGATTTGGCGTACAGTGCCTAATGAAGGGTCCACAGAGGGCGCCACAGACATTGCCATAGTGTCTGACGGTCCACAGGGTCAAAGGCAGCTTTTGGATTGAGAAACACAATCATTGTTGGTTGCTGTTCCGAGAGTCGAGTAGTTCCAGGACGGGATTAGAAAGGAGACAGAATAGGAAGACGTAATGTACGCTTTAATCGTCTAATAACTGTAGTAGATGAGCTGAAAATCACGAGTTAATGGGTTATGCAAATGTATGGGTTATATAGTCATGACATTCTCCTCGCCTTGGAATAAGTGTGTACTTTGCGGAGAAAGAATGTAAAAAAAAATAAAAGGCTGTAATAGTTACATGGAGTCGTTTACGCCTCTCTGTTGCGTAGATTATATGGGTGAGTGCGCTGTTGTCGGATAAGAATGCCCAAGTGATTTCCTGGGTCTGCACTAGAATGGGATGGCGATGCATCGTTAATAGGCAAGAGTTCAGTTTCTGAGCAACCACGGTGGATTGTTGGTGTTGCGTGAGGTTCCCCTTGTTCGGCGATATGTATTGGTTCCTGTTCTGTGTCGGATGTCATGTTGTTGCCTTTGGGAGCCAAGCGGTGCAAGGATACGGTTTCGTGTTTGCCATCTGGACGAACTATGTGCGCGTACTGTGGATTACAAGAGACGAGTTCCACTTCCTCTACCAGAGGGTCATATTTAGAGACTCGATCATTGCGTTTTAAAAGGATTGGCCCAGGGACAGTAAGCCAGTTAGGTAGGGAGGCACCGTTGGCTGATCGTCGTGTGAACGGCATAAAACGTTCGTGTGGGGTACAGTTGATACTAGTACATAACAGGGATCTGATACAGTGAAGAGCATCAAGGAGGACAGCCTCCCAATGTGTGACAGGCAAGCCGCGCGATTTTAGAGCCAGGCAGATGGTCTTCCAAAGGGTACCATTAAGTCGTTCAACCTGACCATTACATTGTGGATTATATGCAGCGGTGTGACTACTGGCAACGCCTTTATCGAACAAAAATTGTTTGAGTTCAGTTGATATGAATGCAGAACCGCGATCTGAGTGAATATAAGCAGGCATACCAAACAGTGAAAACAGTTGACTCAAACAACGAATTACAGTGGAAGAGGACGTATCGGCGCAGGGATAAGCAAAAGGGAATCGAGAATACTCGTCAACGATTGTTAAGAGGTACTTATTACGAGTGTTTGAGGGAAGTGGGCCTTTAAAGTCGATACTAAGGCGTTCGAACGGTTGTGTGGCTTTGATAAGCTGGCCACGAAAGGTGTCACAAAATTTTGGTTTGAGCTCGGAGCAAGTGGAACAGTTGGACACCACACGTCGGATATCGCTGACTGAAAAAGGAAGATTCTTAGAACGAACAAAATGTGCAAATCTCGTGACCCCGGGATGGCATAATATGTTGTGAAGCTCTTCAAGTTTTTCCGTCCCAGTAATGTTGGCACAAAGGTTACGAGATAGGGTATCAGCAACGCGGTTATCTGTTCCAGGTCTATAGACGACGTCGTAGTTGTACCCTGCCAACTCGATTTTCCACCGTTCAATCTTGTCGTTCTTTATTTTACTTTTCTGTTGGTTCCCATACATAAAGGCTACCGAACGTTGATCCGTAATCAATTTAAAATGTCTCCCGAGGAGATAGTGGCGCCATTTGCGGATCGCTTCAACTATAGCATATGCTTCTTTTTCAACAGCAGAATGATTTTTCTCGCTTGCAGTCAAGGTTCTGGAGAAAAAGGCGACCGGCCGGCTACCCTGGCTCAGGGATGCACCAATAGCGATGTCGGACGCATCAGTTTCAACAACGAGAGGAATATTGTAGTCGACAGTAACTACCATCGCATTTTCTAGTTCGTGTTTAAGGTTCTCAAATGCTGTTCGGGCATTCTCCGGGAGCGGAAATATTTTGTTTTTAACCAATGGATGAATTTTGTCAGAGAACGCCGGTATCCACTGTGAATAGTAGGCAAACAAACCAACGGCTCTTTGCTGCGATTTCCCGTTCTCTGGAAGTGGGAGTTCTCTTATGGGGCGCATGCGTTCTGGGTCAGGTCTTATAATACCTTTGGAGACCTTGTAACCTAAGAGAGTAATCTCTTCAGTTGCGAAGCTGCTTTTCGTATCGTTCAAAGTAATATTGTATGTTTTTGCGACATCGAGAAAATGCCTAAGATTACGGTCATGTTCATCTCTCGTTTTGCCGCATATAGTGACGTTATCGATATAAGCGAATGTGTCTTTTACCTGTTCGGCTTTGATTATATTGTTCAGCGTTCGCTGAAAACACGCGACCCCGTTTGTCACTCCAAAAGGAATGCGCCGAAACTGGTATAGGTTCCCCCCAGCTTCGAACGCTGTGAATGGCTTGTCTGACTCGATTATTGGAACCTGATGATATGCACTCTGGAGATCCAGTGTGCTGTAGACAGTGTAGCGTGCGATGGTTTCAATCATTTGGTCGAGCCTTGGTAAAGGATAAGCGTCAAGGTAGGTGAAGCGATTGATTGTCTGGCTGTAGTCTATCACCATGCGTCTCTTGTGATTTGCATTGCGGGTAACGAGCACTTGTGCTCTCCACGGAGAATTTGATGGTTCGATTATGCCATCGGTAAGCATTTGGTCTACTTCCGTTTGTATGAATTGTTCATCTTCCGGTGTATGACGACGAGATTTTGTGGCGATCGGTTTGTAATTTGGAGCAAGATTGGTGAATAAGGATGGAGATTCCAGTTTTGCGGATGTTACGCCACATACAGTTAGGGTACCCCGTTGACCACCGAATGGAATTTCGACTTTATCATGTAACCCCAGAAAGTCATGTCCGAGAAGGACGTCTGCACAAAGGTTCGGTAATACACAAAGTCTGAAACGTTCGTATATAGCATCCTTGTACTGAATGGACACAAGGCAATAACCTTTGGTGGAACATGAATGTATCGTCGACGCCATTGTTATCACAGAGTCGTACGGAAATAGCTCCCAGTTATGAGTTTGCAGGATTGATGAAGAAACGAAACTTCTGGAGCTGCCGGTATCAATGAGAGCTCGGACAACAACGCCGTTGACCAAAATATCTGTTGTAGTTTTGGATAGGCAATTGGGAGCAGCAGCACAAAATAGCGAGGAGATTGAGGAGTCTTGAGCTGAACCCGCGTGATATTTCGAGGCTTTGGACCTACAGACACGTTGAAAATGTCCAATTTTTCCACAACTCTTGCACACTGATTCTTTAGCGGGACACTTATAACGAGGGTGCTTGGGGTTGCCACAAAAGTAACATGTTTGTTGTGTAGCGGCCGAAACTGTTGTTTCGGAATTAACAATGGGTAAAGGAGTAGATACCGAACAAGTAACGGGTTGTCTGTATACGTATGATTGTGACTGTTTTTGTGCAAGTTCGAGAGCTCGCGCGGCTTCATGGGCTTTGTCAAGGTCCAATTCATGCCACGTTAGCAGTTTCTCCCGAATGGTATTCGACTGCAATCCGGTTATCAGAGCATCCCGAACTGCTTCGTTTGTATGTTCCACAGCAGATACTGCTTTGAATTCACAGTCTTTAGCAAGCGATTTCAGTTTTTGAACGAATTGGTCGACATCTTGACCAGGTTCTTGTTTGTATGTGGCTAAAAGATGGCGTGCATACACGATATTTTTCGGGCGGATGTAAAGTTTTTCCAGCAAGGTTATCGCAGAATCGTAGTCGCTGCATTCTGCAATGAAGTCATACACTGTATGGTCGATGTGACGAATGAGTTTCCAATTTATTTAGACCTTCAGGTTTGATTGGGTTAATGTAAGCTTTGAAAGTACGGAACCAATGAGTCCATCGTTTCATGTCATCTGATGAGTGAGGATCAGCATCAAAAACAGTAGGTTGGAGAATATGATCCATTTCGTTTTCATTAGACGATTAAATTGTTGCGAGAGTCGAGTAGTTCCAGGATGGGATTAGGAAGGAGACAGA